CAATTTCTGGTCCAGAAGGAAACAGTACAATTTGTTCCCCCGAAAATTTCGACAAAGCTAACTGTTCCATAAGGGATCAGGAATTAACTGAATGTTTTGTTATATAGCTGGAGTTTTGAAACAAGAAAAATTACCCAAAGTCGAAGTTACCACTGGTTAGTGGTTAGTGGGAGAGCAGGCCACATTTAGATTTAGCCATAGCCATTGCAACCAATGAGAGCGCATGTTAGATTCAACTAAACTCTAGCTAGCTACATAACAATAGACGATATGATTGGTCATTGCTAGGTAACAATAAAGAGAGTCAATTAATCTATGTAAGTTTAATGTATACATTGTCTCCTGTCATGAGGCCAAGGCTAATTATCTGATTAGAAATAACTGTAGAGCACAAACGCGAAGTCTCCGGCAACAGAAATGGATCAGGAAATTTATGACATTGCCCATCACTGGGCTCTTGTTTTGTGCATTTTGAAAGGCTTTTTTTATGATCTTCCTCTGTAACTCGTAGTTCTTTACAATCTAATATTTTAATATATTATTCCATTAGAAACTCACCAGAATCTAGAATATCCAAACAGTGACTGCCTGGGTTATAGGCCACGTGACCTAAACCAGCAGTAACCACTGATAACCAAGCGTTGCCATCGCAGAGTTGTAAAGCATTCTGGGAAGTACTGTAGCGAACTGTTCCAGTAGTGCTCAGTATGCAGATGTCAGCAGTGTCGCCAAACTTAATCGCTCCGTGATGGGGTATTCCGTCTTTTCCTGGCGAACCGCTCTCACCTTTTTCGCCCTGAAAAACAAACAACAATGGCAAACAAACAGACAGAGAAATATCGGTAAAACGGTAATTCCTCTAGCTAAACCCGACCAAATATTGGTCAGTATTGAAAACTTTACTTTGGGCCATTTTACATGATTTCCGCCGCCGTAATGAAAACAGTGGTTTGCAGGTTAGAGGCATTTCTCGAGCACTCAACGTTCAGTAAATCGGCAAGAGAGCATCTTGAACCTAAGCATGCACAACAGGAGTTAAGTCCTTGTTAATTAAGTTTTGTCCGATTCACAGAAATGGTCCGAAATGATTCTATGTCTAGCATTTTTCATCTTTTCTTGCAACTGTTAGCCAATAATATTAAATTTAAACAAAGTCGAAGTTTTTAAACGAACCTTTACTCCGTCTCTTCCATCGCGCCCGTCACGACCATCTTTTCCTTGGATCAAGGAGAAGAAAAGTAACAACTTGTTTAAGTTATGTTCTGTGTTTTTTCTCAAAACAATTCCAGGTTTTCACTTGTTTTTGTAAATTTGTGACACAAGGATTAAACTCAAAAAATGCGATGTAATTAATTTGAGTTGCTTTTACAAAATTTCTTGCAACAATTTGTAATGAAGTTCCGTAATTTCTATTTTTCAATTGAGAAAATATTGAAAAACTTGTCAAGCTTTAAGGAGAAATCCATCAGACGTTCGAGTAACAAGTGGACAAAAACTTTGTACCCAGGGGCGGATCTAGGGTTTTTCTTAGGAGGGGGTGCACCACTAAGGAATTACGTAACTGACTGGTGAGGTAAACAAATTTTAGAAGCGAATCCAAAGAAGACTTCATCTCAAGGGGGAGGGGGGCACGCACCCCCTGCACCCTCCCCCTAGATTCGCCCCTGGCACCGACATGGTTTGCATGCGACTGGTTTAAGTATCTTCTGAAAAGAAATCATTCCTTACAACTCCAAATGTCGAAAACAGATCTTGAAGTTCATATGAAACACTTGAAAGTACTGGTGAAATGACACTGATGATGAAATGTTAGCTGTGTATGCACAATTTCTCTGCACTTTGAAATCTGTTTTCTCGAGTGGGGAAATTGTTTTTGGCACACGGTTATTTCAGGACATTATTTATAGTTTTAGCTTTTAGAAAATGCGAAAAGGATATCAATATACTTAACATCATTCTGGTACAGGATTTTTGTCCACATAAAACTGGAATTGCTCCATTTCCTAGCGGATTTAATCTTAAAACTTTCAAAGGTGTAAATGCCATTGTTCCTTGTGAGGCCGAAAATGTATTTTTCGACCAATTTGACTTATTGGCAGTTATGGAAGATCAAATCTTTCTCGGCTTTATTCAAGTCGAAAGAGGAAATACGCTGTTGGTATTAAAAGAGGTTTGAAACACAAGAAAAGGACAAAATAAACGAGAACAAATTTCGGACTGTAAAATGAATTATTTTCTGTCCTTACCGTCGCGACAGCAGCATTCTTTTARCCCGGACTGGTTTTGCTGTGTCCTGTTTGTAGAAACCTGAAAACATACACTGGAAAAGCTATCAATTAAAAGGATTTTTGATCAATGCGCAGAATTTTAGATAGTCTAAGTTTTCACGAGTTCTCAGTGTTGACTTTAGGGTGAGAAATCAAATCATCGACCCGTGAACAGAAAAAATGCTCCTAGACGCATTCCTAAGGTCAAATTAAAACTTGCCTTGTTGGACGAGCTTGCAAAACACCCCAACATAAAAAGCGAAATGAGCGCTAAAAACAGGCGAAACATTTTATGTTCGTCTCCTCTGCTAGACTTTTATTGAGAATGGCAGAACGTTGCCAGGTATTATTTTTCAACTTTGAAATATTGTTTACCCCCCAGTCAAACGCCAAAAATCGGCGCGACGACTCATATTAACTGTTATAGAAATTTGACAAATAATTTGCTTTCGTGAAACACCCACTGGCTTCCTCTTTTATGACTTTTCAGCCATCTTTTTCGTATCAAATCTTACATTTCTCGGAAAGCTGATTAGGAATCTTTGAAACTGTAATTTAATTACGCGGATTTGGGAAAATTTCCTCAAAATATATTCATTAGGTAGACGGCAGACAAACAAAAAGGTTTATACATACATATTACGATACACAATGGACTGCTTATCGTTTATCTTGCATTCTCATATTTATTTTTGGTGTCCCAAAACAAAGAATTAAACGGCGGCCATGTTGGTGTCCCAAGCCAATCCGATGGGAGTTCAGCTTTCTTTGTTCAACGAAAGTTGCATGGCTGCTGGCCACGTGACTAAAAACGCTCTATTTTTGCGTTTTAAAGCCATCTAAGATGACCAGTTTAATGAAAAGCTTACATTTTTTTTCTTTTTTACTTGGATAGCACGAATTTTTTTAACATTAGTCTACTGGATGATTTACTGAGTAAAAATTTTTAAATGCATACTGATAAATTGCATGTCAAAATAAAATGAAGAAACAACGAATAATGAACAAAACATTATGTTTACACAATGAGTTGAAAAAAACAGGATAGACTCGCGTGTAACCAAAAGGACAGACAAATAAACGCTGAATGACTTCGATGACACTTTTTGCTGTAATTTATTAAACTTTGTTCCGTGTTGTTTTCTTGATGAACAAAGGGGTATGGCATTTGCCTTTTTTGTTCTCAGCCCGGAGCATTCAAATGACTCAGTTGTATTTGCCATTTTCTTTTTTAACAATGCTAATGCCAGGGAGCTGGCCTGGGCACCGCTTCAACTACCTGATGTATTGCACGTGTGGCCTACTGTGTTCATTGCATAATGATACCTGCGCTACAAATTTGGTAAGCGCGCGCGGAATTTTTTGGAGCGTTTTTATTTTTATTTTAGTTTAGTTCTCTATGTTTTGGGAGCTTTTCTAATGAAACAATTATTCCACCAGAGCTTGTTGGATATGAAATGATTATATCCAATTCTGCGCTACGCGCCTCGTTGACTATCTGTCACCCCTTATAATCCGTCCAATTATTTTCGCTCGCACGCGATTGGTCTAAACGCGTCACGTGACTGGATATGGCCTAGCTAAAACTGGGGAATATTTTTTACGCCAAATGGAGGCTATTGTTTATATATGCCACGCTATTTACCATCTCATATCCATCGCACGCTCGTGGAATAATTGTTAATTATAACACAGTTAGCATGAGCTGCGCAATAAAATTCAGTATCCGTAAGCGTACACCATAATCCAATGTAATGTCCTTTTTTGCCTCGTCTGCGAAAATAGCTTTAAGCGCATATATTGAAATAACTTTGTTGAACTTGTGAACTTCAGTAGGCTGCTTTAAAAATTTTTTCTGGTTACGAAGTAATATGAACTTAAAAATTGAATTGAACGACTTGAACTAGGGAGGAGACGAAATAAAGGAGAAAC